TCCTCATTATCCTCGTTCTTTTTATCGTCATAATTGTTATCATAAATTCGAAAAAGGTTCACCGTCATGCGCAATTATATATATAAAAAAAATCCATTAATTTTGTCCTCAATCTTAAATAAAAAAAAAAAAAAAAAATTATCCTCTTTTCATCATTTCATTATAATCATTACATAACTCATCATCATCCATATCGAATTATTCCTTAAACATAAAGAAAAAAACAAACAAACAAATTCATTCATTCGTACAAAACAAAACACGTCCATTTTTTTTTTTTTTTTTTTTTTTTTTTTTTTTTTTTTTTTTTTTGGCGAGACAGTCTCTCCTTTCGCGGAGTCAAGGTTGCCAATGCTAATATTATTGTGCTTTGTGGGCGTTTTTCTTGATTATTTCTGTTTTGTTGTCTTTCTCTCTTTCTTTTTGGCTTTCTTTGTTTTGTTTGTTTGTTTCTTTCTTTTGCTTTCTTTATTTCTTTTTGTTTTCTTTTGTTTTCTTTCTTTCTTTTTGTTTTCTTTCTTTCTTTTTTTGTCTTTATTTTTTCATTCGTTTGTTTCTTTCTTTGTTTTTTCTTTCTTTTGTTTTCTTTGTGCTTCTTTCATTTCTTATTTCCTCCTTTTTGTTTGTTTGTTTGTTCGCTTGTTTCTTACTTTGTTCTTTCGTTTCTTTGTTTCATTCTTTCTCTTCATTCTTTTCTTCTTTTTTCTTCCTTTCCTTTTCTATATTTATTCTATTTATTTACCATTTTTTTCGTTCCTTTTTTCTTTCTCTCTTCTTTCTTCTTCCTTCTTCTCTCCTTCTTTTCTTTCTTATTTCCTTCCTTTCCTTCCTTCCTTTCCTTTCTTTCTTCCTTTCTTTCAATTCCTTCTTCCTTCCTTCCTTTTATTTGGTAAATCATGTTACTTCTTATTTTTTATTTAAGTTTTGATATCATAGTTTTTGTAAAATTTCTATTTTTGTTGCTACGTAAACTTGGATCATTGTTCTCATATATTTGGGTGGAGTTCAAGTAAATTCTAAATATTATGTTTGTATTTGTTGATATGTCCCATGCGAAAGTTTATTTTTATTTTTTTTTTTTTTTTTTGGTTTTTTATATGTTGAAAAATGTATTCAGTGTTTTCAGATTGTGAATGAATGTTGCGCATCTGGTATGTCAGTTTTTTTGTTTTGTTTTTTGTTCTCTGTCTCTCTTTGTCTGTTTCTGTCATCTGTCTCTGTCTTTCTTTCTCTCTTTCTGCTCTCTCTCTCTGTCTGTCTGATCTATCTCTCTCTGTCCTTCTGTTCTGTCTCTATCTTTTCTCTCTCTCTCTCTCTCTCTCTCTTCTCTCTCTCTCTCTCTCTCTCTCTCTCTCTCTCTTCTCTCTCTCTCTCTCTCTCTCTCTCTCTCTCTCTCTCTCTCTCTCTCTCTCTTCTCTCTCTCTCTCTCTCTCTCTCTCTCTCTTCTCTCTCTCCTCTCTATCTCTATGTCTCTCTCTTGCCATATCTATCGAACATAATACCCATATTTCGGACTGTCAATCCATCTATATATCCATCCATCTCTCTATCTATCTATTTATCTATCTTCTACATTCACCTTACCTAGATAGCTAGAAGATATAGAGAAGAGAGAGAGAAAGAGAAAGAGAGAGAGAGACAGGACGAAGAGAGAGAGAGAGAGAGAGAGAGAGAGAGAGAGAGAGAGAGAGAAGAGGGAGAAAAGAGAGAGAGAAAGAGAAGACAAGAAAGAAGAGAGAAAAGAAGAAAGAGAGAGAGAGAGAGAGAGAGAGTCAGAGAGTCACAGAAAGATGCATATACACAACCAAAAAAGATGGAAAAATCTATATACCAAAAAAAAAAAAAAAAAAAAAGAACACGACACAGATACACATATATAGAAACCATTTTCCTTTGACACAGAACGTAGAATAAGGGCAATTGGGACAGTGTTGCCAATCACAGACATTATAAGGTTGGTGATGCTGACAGAGAGGACACAAATAAAGGATTATTAATCATCAGATATTTCCCTTTTCCTCTGATAATATTATTATTATCATTATTATTATTTATTATTATTATTATTATTATTATCATTTATTATTATTACTGTTTCTATTGTCATTATCATTATTATTATTATTATTATTATTATTATTATTATTATGTATTATTATTTATTAATTATTATTACTGTTTCTTTGTCATAATTATTATTTATTATTATTATTATTATTATTATTATTATTATTATTATTATTATTATTATTATTATTATTACTGTTTCTATTGTCATTTTGTCATTATTATTATTATTATTATTATTATTATTATTATTATTATTATTATTATTATTATTACTGTTTCTATTAATTATTATTATTTTCATTATTATTATTATTATTTTATTATTATCTATTGTCATTATTATTATTATATTATTATTATTATTATTATTATATATTATTACTGTTTCTATTTCATTATTATTATTATTATTATTATTATTATTATTATT